CCACGCTGCCCGACTTGCCGCTCGGCCCCCCTGATCGAAGCGTCACAGCCTCCTGTCATCCGCATCCTTACCACTACTTACCTCGACCCAACTCGCGCCACGCCGATCCCGCTGGTGTCGTCCGCGCCGTTGCGCACGCGCCCCGTCCTCCTTTCCCACGCCTGCCTCCTCCGTTGTACCGTTGTAGTCACGCGCTTACGGGCTTACCTGCACAAGTATCCACGCATGTGCAATTCATGGGCGGAACATTTGCGTTGTTGACTTTTTTGTCTTTCTCTCTTGCTTTTGCCTTGCTCCGCTTGGTTCAAAATATGAGAAATATGTACTCTAGAGCAGTGGGGCGGTTTGAGAGAATGAGAAGTGGAGTCAGGTAGCTATACTTGCATGCCCATTAAATCCAAATCTCGTCCGCACCTCGCCATTCACCACATGCCGCCTGTCTTGTCCCCCTCACAGCATCCTCTTTCACCAACCCACATGTGCGAGATTTCTGTCAGATCATCCTCACACCGACGGAATATCGGGACACAAAATGTTAATGTTCGGTTCGCTCTTTTCTACGGCCCGGGCCCGAATCGAACGGACGCCTCCCGTATGTAACAGCTGATTTGGGATTCGTAATATATACAGGTGCGCACCACGCGCCTCCGGGCCTTATTAACTGACCTACAGCCCTGCATTTCTGCGGCTGTTTTGACCTGCAACAGAGGAAATGAGGGTTACTCGGGTCCTCCCTGCGGCGTATCCGAAGAATCTGCACCACAACTCTTGGAGAGCGCAGGTTTGGTTTCCGGCATCCGAAGAGCCAAAAAAAATCCGCATTGGTCACAATTCAAGGCCCGGGTCCGAACCGAACGTACACCTCCTGCATGGAAGATGGTATACGCGGGAATGTATGCCGTCGGGCCTTATTTTCTTTCTTGCATCCTCGCACTTACCCTATAGTTTCGAGGTGAGCTGGGCGCTAATGTAAGTCCCCATGTCACGCCCCACAATCCGATTGAGGCGACTCTCAAGTTAGCTCAACCGCGACATGAAAACATGTGATCGTGTTTCGTCCGGATCACGGGCCGGATCCGGACATTCTTCCTTGACCTCTACCACAACGACATCCGACTCACAAGTATCCTCTGGCTTTCCTTGTCCCTGGGTCAACGCATTCAGTCATGGATGCATGTTCATTTTCCTGAATGCCTTCGACTGCGATCCACCCTCCCTTCCGGGGCGTGTGGGGCCGGCGCAAGCCGTCCATCCCTTTGTGCTCCTCCCCAAACAGCTTCTTTTTAGTTGTCAACGCAGCGCAATATCTTACATTTTGCGACATCATTGGTCTGTCCACTGGGTCTATCAAATGTCCAATCGCTACGCAACCCGCCATGTCTTTGTGCAGACGCGTGGCAAGTCAGCGATCTCCTTTTAGGCAACATAGCGCTGCTGAAAGCCCGTCTCTTTCACTGCACGTCTCTCCACCTCTCACTTATCCCCCCACGAGCAACTCCTCCTTCAACCTATCCGATAGGAACAAGATGCAGAATGCAAGCCCGAGTGGCATCCTCACAGTTATGGCAGCAAACCAGGACTACGTGGAATCCCTAGAAGATGAACTGAGGCGTACGAAATCGGAGGTGCGCATGTACCCCCACGAGTGGCAAACATTTCGCTGATTGATATTTTTACAGGCGGCTCAGAAGCTCGCCGAGACCAGCGGCAAAGTTACTCGACTCCAGGGCGTGGTCAGTGGACGCATCCAGGATGCGCCCTCTTACATTACTGATATCTGCAAGGTGGCACGAACCGACAAAGAACTCCGTGACAAGGACAGTGCTCTGCGCGAGATGAAAGAGGTGATCTGCCCGCGGCTCATACTGACACTTCCGACTAATTTTCTTTCAGAAATTACGCACCGAGCGCGAGGCCGCTGAACGGACGAAGGTCGAGCTCACGCGTAAGATCGCATTCTTGAAAGAAAAGGCTGCGAGACCCCCACTTCGGCCGGTAGGCAACGCCCGTTTTCAGCTGAAGGCATATTAATACCTCATCCAGACCTCCCGAGCGAATGGAATTCGCCCCGATGGGAAAATCACAGCGAGCAACGAAAATGTCAAGGTAATTTCCTTCTACGGTTGCCGTCGCCACCCGCTGACTTGTTGGGGCAGGCGCGCTCTAATCTCATTAGCGAAAATGAAGCTCTCCACAAAGAAAATGCCAGGCTCACGACGGAGAAGCGGAACCTGCGCAATAGCCTGCTTACCGCAGCTGCTCAGGCAACGGAGGTGAGCGATTACTCAGCTTATGTGGGACACCTTCGAACGCTCTTCGCATTTCCAGCAGCTCGAACAGTCTTATTCAGAGCAGCTCCGTCTTGAGCGGGAGAAGAGTGCGCAACTGGAGCAGGTAATAAGTCCCCGAATTTCGTGGATTACTCGCTGATGACGGTGCATTCTAGCAACTCCACCGGGCGCAAGCGCAGAACTCCCGCATGGCGCTTGCGGCCGCCCCGGTACATGGACTGAACTCTCATCAATTCAATTCTGACTGGCATTTTCCATGACAGGCCCGTCCAACGAAAGACCCCCGCGTGGTGAGTGTTCTCGATGCTGTTGGGAGTTTGAGCATTCATTGATGCCCACCTCAGCGCATTTCAAGCGGCGCAGCAACCTTGCAGGTATTTCATAACGCCCACCTGATGTATAAAGCTCACCCTATTCCAAAAGGCGACGATGCCAACTGGCCCTCTACCCGCCGTGCGCCAGACGAGCGCTTCCGGGAGCCTCTTAGGAACGCAGGTGGTGCTTGAAGATGGGGAGATCTAGGAATAAGGCGCGCTGAAAGCTTTCCTGGCTTTGAACCGGATATATGCATGACTCTATACCCTATGATTTATCTTTTCTTCTTATGTGTTGGGTCGAGGGCATTACTAGATGCTTTTTATGGATTTAAATCAGCACTAAAAAGTTTAAATCAGCGCTCCCCCGACATGGCCCGGGCCCGAATCGAACGGTCCCTGCATGTTGATAACAACAACGGTAAATGTATGCAGGTGCGCACCACACGCCGCCGGGCCTTATTTTGCTCCTCGCATCCCTCTCCTTATGCGATATTTTCAGTTTGATGGTTCGGTTTTATGTTGGTAATGCAAGAATCAATGTGCCAATTCTGCCAGATTCTGCCGTCATTCTGCCATTGTGCCTGGCTTAATTGCGCCGAAACAATTCTGCCCAGTACACTAGCTGGGACCCTGGGCTGGTATCGTCCGCGAACGCAGATTCAACTTGCAGCAGATGTAACTGTGGAGCCTACCGAACCAGAAGAAGAAAAATCGAAATTCGACGAACAGGTACCGGGCCCAAATCGAACGGACGCCTCCTGCATGCAATGACTCGTCCAGAAAAATCAACATACACAGGTGCGCACCACACGCAACCGGGCCTTACTACCCTCCTCGCGTCCCTCTCCTTACCCGATATTTTCAGGCGGAAAATCTGGTTTCATGTTGGATATCGCACAGGTGTTTCCCGTAGACTCGCAACTAGAGTCTTCACTGTAAGCCCATTGAACAAAAAAACTTCCTTGACCGGATTTCACGGATGTCGAATCGAACGGACCCTCTCCTTGTCCAATATTTTCAGGTGCATAATGTCCCTGTTATGTTAGGTATTATCGCAGCCGCGTACTTGAGTGCACACGCGACTCGCACACTGAACTTGACGCACGCACGGATCCCTTTGAGAAGCAGACGCAATTATAGACACGGTCGAACCAAAAAAAAGATTAAATCATCAATCACCCTCCGAACATGGCCCGGGCCCGAATCGAACGGACGCCTCCTGCCCTGCATGTAAATGATAACAGCACCGGTCAATGTATGCAGGTGCGCACCGCGCGCCGCCGGGCCTTGCTACCCTCCTCGCGTCCCTCTCCTCATGCGCTATTTTCAAGTGCATATTTTCGCTGTGCTGGACTTCTGCGGGGACGCTGGGCTGGCGTCGTTCAACGTATACTTGCAACTGCAGATGTTGAGCCTGTCGAACCAGAAGGAAAAAGAGCGAAGCTGCGACGAATAGGGCCCGGGCCCGAATCGAACGGACCCCTCCTGCCCTGCATGTCGACTACAACAGTCCAGGTTAATGCATGCAGATGCGCACCACGCGCCGCCGGGCCTTACCACCATCCTCGCGTCCCTCTCCATACGCGATATTTTCAGGTGGATGGTTCGGTTTGTATGTTGGGTATCGCACAGGTGTTTTCCGTACACTCGCAACTAGAGTCTTCACTGTAAGCCCATTGAACCAAAAAAAACCTCCTTGACCAGATTGCACAGGCGTCTGCTGGGAGCCTGGGCTGGCATCGTCCGCGAACGCAGATTCAACTTGCAGCCGCAGATGTTGAGCCTATCGAACCAGAAGGAAAAAGAGCGAAGCTGCGACGAATAGGGCCCGGGCCCGAATCGAACGGACGCCTCCTGCATGCATGTCGATGACAACATCCAAATAATGTATGCAGGTGCGCACCACGCGCCGCCGGGCCTTACTACCCTCCTCGTGCCCCTCTCCTTACGCGATATTATATTTTTGCATAGGTATCACAGCTGTATGCTTGAGCGCAGACGCGACTCGACCCGCACACTGAACTTGACGCGCGCGCGGATCTCTTTCAGAAGTAGACGCGACTGACTGTAGACCTGTCGAACCAGCAGGGGGACAAAAAGGCACGACATTGATGAGCAGGGCCCGGGCCCGAATCGAACGAACGCCTCCTGCATTTAGGATTGTCTACGTTGCGGCAATATATGCAGGTGCGCACCACGCGCCGCCGGGCCTTACTACCCTCCATGTATCCCCCACCTTCATACTCATGCGATATTTCAGGTGCATAATTCCGCTGCGCTGGACTTCTGCGGGGACGCTGGGAACCTGGGCTGGCGTCATAATTGCAGCTGCAGATGTAACTGTTGAGCCCATCGAACCAAAAGAAAAAAGAGCAAAGGTCATCGACGTATACGGCCCGGGCCCGAATCGAACGGACGCCTCCTGCCCTGCATGTTGATGACAACGAAACGGGTAATGTATGCAGGTGCGCACCATGCGCAACCGGGCCTTATTTCCCTCCTTGCGTCCCTCTCCTTATGCGATATTTTCAGTTGGATGGATCGGTTTGTATGTTGTTATCGCGCACTCGAACGCAACACAAGGCGTACACTGAACTTGACGCACGCACGGAGCTCTTTGAGTGGACACGATTGTGGACCTGTCGAACCAGCAGGGGGACAAAAGAATCTCGCCGAGCACGGCCCGGGCCCGAATCGAACGGACGCCTCTTGCATGCATGTCAATGATAATCGGCAATGTATGCAGCTGCGCACCACGCGCCGCCGGGCCTTGTTTCGCGCCTTGCGTCCCTCTCCTTGTCCAATATTTTCAGCCGGGTTCATATCGGATAATCGTAGGTCTTTTTTCTTGGCCAGGGGATGTGTTCATAGCAACACGGGCGGCGTTAGGGTGCAGACTCGGTTTGCACGCACGCACGGGCTCCTTCGATAAGCAGGCACGATTGTTGACACGGTTGAACCAAAAAATTTAAATCATCAACCAGTCTTCGGACATGGCCCGGGCCCGAGTCGAACGGACGCCTCCTGCATTTAGAATCATCTACGCTTGCGGCAATATATGCAGGTGCGCACCATGCGCAACCGGGCCTTATTTCGCTCCTCGCGTTCCTCTCCTCATGCAATATTTCAGGTGCATAATTTGCTCATCTTGGATTATCTCACAGACCTTTCTCCGCCGTGTACTTGAGCGCAGACGCGACTCGCACACTGAACTTGAAGCACGCGCGGATCTTTTTGAGAAGTAGACGCGACTGTGGACCTGTCGAACCAGAAGAAAAAAGAACGAAGTATGGACGAGGGCCCGGGCCCGAATCGAACGGACGCCTCCTGCATGAAATGACGAGAATGCTTTAACATATGCAGGTGCGCACCACGCGCCGCCGGGCCTTACTACCCTCCTCGCGTCCCCCTCCTTGTCCAATATTTTCAGGTTTCATATTGGATAATCGTAGGTCTTTTCCCTTGGTCAGGGGATTGTGTTCATAGCAACACGGGGTGCAGACGCGACTCGCACACGGCGTACACTGAACGCACCGCACGCACGCACGGACTGTGTATTTGATGAGCAGAGGCGACTGACTGTCGAGCTTGTGTCGAACCAAAAAAAGGTTTCAAACAGCGCGTGGCGCGAATGGCCCGGGCCCGAATCGAACGGACCCCTGCCCTGCATGTCGACTACAACAGTCCAGGTTAATGCATGCAGATGCGCACCACGCGCCGCCGGGCCTTATTTCTCTCCTCGCGTCCCTCTCCTTATGCGATATTTCAGGCGGATATTTTCGCTGTTATGTTAGGTATCGCACATCAGGAAAAGCCGAAGTTACTGGATAGACATATATAGACTCACATAGTAGCTATAGACGTTATAGACAACCGGCCAAATCTATAGAGAGGTGGGAGCACCTACTTCAAATCTATAGACACTCATAGACCAACATAGTCGGGGTGTCGTCTATGATACTCGCCATAGCCATAGGACATATAGTGGTTTATAGTGCTCATAGTGCTCAATAGAGCCAAAAAGATTCGACAAAAAAAATCATATTTGCAGCTAGATACGGCACAGGAAAGCCCTCCGAATCTATCCTCCTGGTTCCAAATCCCTCCACTACCCAATCCACGCCACGGTGCAGCAGGTCTCTACAACCGTCCGTGATTCGAGGATAAATGCGATGGCGCCTGCATGTGCCAGTTGGAATTAGACATACGTTTCGGCGCTTGAGATGGTTCCAAATGTCGACTCCGAAGCCGATATAAGGAACTGGGGACAATATTAGTCTGCGGGGTCGATAGGGCATGTACGACATTTACCAAGGTTATCTATCACCATCCTCCCATCAATCCCTTAGCCCTATCTCACGATGAGCCTGTTGGGCGTCAGTGCGAAGAGCATACCGTCGAGCTAACCTATACATACACGTAAAGTGTGTAGAAGAACTGGCGGGGGGCGCACCAGACGGCGCGAGGAGCGCAAACCTCTCAGGTGTGTTGCGGCTGCCTGGGGAATGGAGGGAAAGACTACGAGTAGTATTGGGGATTCTGGATGCGACGAGCAGAACACCGGCCCCGGGAGGACTAGGGACGTCTTGGGCGAGTGAGGTTGACGTCACAGTGCGCATGACCAACGCGAAAGGAGAGCACGGGGTATACGCTGGGTCGATGGATTGTCATTGGATAGTTCCTGTTGCGACCAAATTGCGCGTCGCCGGTGTCTCTGGCAGTCCAATCGATTGCGACTTGGCCCGGGTGTCGAGTGTTGACCTAGTCTGCATGTATGTTCTAGCTTCCAGGATATTGCTTAGGGTCGGACTTGCGGAGCAGAAGATGATGCTTGACAGAGCGGGTGCTGACAATTTAAGTGAGCGACAGTAATGGGGTGGACGCGAGAGCGAGTTCTTTGATCCGGCGCTTTTGAGATGGAAGTCTGGGCAGATATGGCCCTTGAGGATGGCCGCAGCATGAGTTTGGATGCCCAGGGTGTTGACTAACCTGAGAACGGCCACTCGACAATCGTCATTTGCTTCTCCGAGAGCCCGGTATGGGCTTCATGGGGGGTGGGAAGCCCAGGATGCTCGGATGCACATGTGATAGCTTGGATACGAAGTGAAATTGAAGATTGGATGCAAGGAGGACGTCTTGGAACGAGCGGAACATACGGAGTTCGAGCCTCGGCTGCGAGTCGTAACCATAGTCTGTTGCAAACGTCCCGTGGGAGAGCGCAGAGCTGTGACCGAGCTTCAAGTATTGGTCACTGAGCATACGGCCGAGGAGCTGGGAGAGGGAAGAGGGAAGAGGAAGAGAGAGGAAGAGGAGCGACCAACATGCACGTGATGAATATACATAAGAACAAACATTGCGCACGGACCTTCCTTTTCTTTCCGAATCAGAACCTTCTGAGCCTTGTTTCCTCGCAGCGCGGCGACGAAGATGGATACTCCAGTTGAATCACAAACACTTCGCATCATTCTCGCCGTCTACTTATTTCAGCAGTTCTGAGTGCCTGGCAGTGGCAGGCTGGCACTGCCTGCATCTTTCTCGGTCCGACTATTTTTGCTTTTACGCCAGAACTCCAGCGCACTGCACAACCTGATAATCCTCGGCATCGTCTCCGGCGTTTTTGCATCTGAATCTTCCAGCTCAAGCCTACAATATGCCCCAGTATGCACATCTCGGAACACAATATTAATGCAATGCAATCAACCGAACACGTGCAGTGAAAAGAACGTATCATCAACAACCATATCAGCAGGATTGGTGCTACTCCAGGGAGACCGGAACCTCAATGCCCAGGCTGCCAGTGATTCAAAATTTCACACAGCCCTCGGTTTTCCACCCGACCACGCACGTCTCTACTTAGTGTGCTATCTGTGTCCTCGACTCCTCGTGTGATTGACCCACCTGCGGGAGCAATGGCTCTCGTCCGAGATACCCCATTGCTGCCCGGTTCCATCTTGACTGTGCTCTGCTCTTGACACACCGGGTGTGCTACAGCACAACCCCCAGAGTTTGTCGGGATATGCCTGAGTTTTCAAATGGTATCGTATTGATTTCCTTCTCCTTATTGATTACGGATCCATGTGTACGTATGCAGATATTCCACTCAAAATGATACAGCTACCTTCATTTCTTATGGATTCTGTGCAGAATATCTCAGGAGCTATATTTTCCGATCCAATGGCATGGCTTCCTCCATTTCTGTGAATAAAATCGATTCAGAGAACAGTTTTGTTGTTTATTGAGGCTAGTTTAGCGCGGATTGATGATCACATCGTGGCACAAGATTGAAAGATTTTTATAGACATCCAGAGAAAGTAATCGGCCGCAGGGAAATATATATAGCTCTCCATAGACATTCATAGACACCATAGAATGGGAGGGCAAGTTCATAGACATTCATAGACATATATAGGCCTACATAGTGTTGTGGATTTAAGGAATTTGGCCGGCAGTCGGAGTTGTTTAAATCTAACAGTTTGCGGCCGCAGTGTGATGACGACAGTTGGGCCAACTGCATTTTCCGCACAGTTACGACTCAGCCGTTTAGTGTGAACAGTTGGTGAACAGGTGTCAACTGTTTTATTTGAACAGTCCAACCTGTAATAATCACACATCTGTAGATTGAGCCTGTGGTAAAAGAATCAACATATAAGCCTTTAAATATTGCTTTGAAGCACGTAAGAGGCTGAATGGCCTCGTGGTACTCGACGTTGACTTCACTTGTCAAATGGGTACAAGTGCTTAATGTTTTCGTCACAAACCATCCTTAAATTTTTGCTAAATTTCCCTTAAATCTCTACATAGTCACTACATAGTCACCACATAGTTTGTTCAAATTTAAGCACCCAACGAAGTGTATGATTCCAGCACTTGAGGCAGGACTGGGGATTGAGAACACTTGCCAACTGTTCAATTTATACACTTCAATTCGGACCATATTGTTCAAACATCCCTCCAACTGTACGGAATGAATAATTCACAAGCTGTGTATATTGTACCCACTCCCCAACTGTATGAAATACACAGTCCGACACTGTGTAAATCGAATGCTCTGCTCATGCTGTTCCTAATTAGGAAGTGTTTAAATCTGACACCTCGCTTCCTTAAATTTCCCCCGACTATGACCTACATAGACCGATAGAGTGGGCCATCTGTCTATCATAGCATTTCGGTTTTTCCTGATGCATTGAGCGCAGACGCGACTCGACTCGTACAAGGCCCACAGTTACACTGAACGCACCGCACGCAGAGGCTTCGACGAGTAGATGCGACCGTAGGAGTCGAACCAAAAAAAAGTTTGATTCGATCCCGCCAGACATGGCCCGGGCCCGAATCGAACGGACGCCTCCCTGCATGTTGATGACAACAACGGTAAATGTATACAGGTGCACACCCCGCGCAACCGGGCCTTATTTCCTTCCTCGCGTCCCCATCCTCATGCGATATTTTCAAGTGCATATTGTCGCCGTTATGTTAGGTATCCGCAGCCGCG